AAATCCTTGTGAGGCATGCCCCCCCCCCCCCCCGCCTTTTTTTTTCTTCTTTCATTATGTTGTGGTTGGTTTGAACCTTCTTTCAAGATTTCAACGCAGAAATAATGTTCGTTCTATTGGAGTTGACAGGCAAGAACTAGCTTTTGTGGTTCTTAAGCTCCTCAGCTTCGTTTTAGTGTTTAATTATCTACCAGAACTGATTCTTGCCTTGTATAATTAGGCCCCTGATCATGTATTCCATGATCCCACAGCTGTGGAATTCACCCACCGCTGCAAAGCAGGGCTCCAGAATTCAGGCTTTCATTTATGGATAGCATATGGAAAAGGGGTACCTATTTCTTCAAAACTATTAAGACCCCGATTAAAATTCTAGCAGTTGCAATGACCAAAATCCCCTACAAAAATACAAGGTTGAGCTTAAAGTGGAACAGTGTGGTCTCCTGAACCACCAGCCTCTAGTTTAGGGGACAATCTGCGCCATGCACTTAATGAACCACCCCTTTTTGTGTTGCAGAAGGTGTTGGCACTGTATAAAGATTAAAATATAAATAAATCTAGCATTTATTTTTAACTGTTTAACTTTCAAACCGATATTCTTCATTGCATAGTCATAAAGCAGGTTGCAGTAACGGGATACATAGTCCCGCACTGGTGGGAGGAGGTGGTGATGTGGGCTAGAGAGCTGATTTCGGTTGGTTGCTGGCAGGTAATTGCGTCTGCAGGCCTATCTGCACAGGATTTGGCTTCCTCTGAGAAATGAGCTAGGAATTAGTTTTCACTATTGGAAAAGCTTTCTGGATTATGGAGACACGCAGCCAGGAGCAGAAATAGTAGAAGACCAAAAGGTAGTGTTCCTGAGGCCGTCTGGTTGGTAAGGAGAAGCAGTCCGGAGATACTGCCAAGAGGAGTTGGAAATGCAAGCCCTGCGTTAGGCAGAACTGAGTCCTGGATGAGATGCTTTTATTCCAACCAAGAGGTGTGAGAGTGAGAACCCTGAAAGAAGGCAGTTCAGAGATCCTAAATGTGGTGCTAAATAAAGAGCAGTAAGGGGTAGCATCAGCAGAGATTTCACTCTTAGTTTATTTCTCAGTTGAACAAAATTGCTTGCTGAGGCTCTCCCTAGCCACAGGGGATGTGCTGGGCAGCTGATCACTTGCAAGCATTTTAGTTCTGCAGGTAACCCTCACGTTTCCCTACCTAGGCTGAGAAATCTGTCTCGGTGTCTGCTGATTCAGATAAAAACTTAAGATTCTTGCTGTTTTATTTTTAGTAGCCAAAAGATAATGTTAGTCTTAAATATTTAAACTTTCCTTTTAATTCAGCTGAAACTGATATGTTTTCCCTGTGTTCTGCACAACAATATTGAAAAGCTTTAATCCATAACCCAAAGCCATATATATATTTCTCTGATGTTCATGACACTGCTTTGGCTGTTGTAGGAATTCTTGACAAAGAAGGGGAAAGACTTCCACAGCTGTAAAGAAAGGAGGTTAATCATACACAAGTGACTGCCTGCTCTAGGGCATTTGGAAAGATAAGTGTGCAGGTTTTTTTTATCCTTTCCAGTGAAATGCAAATGAGGAAAGAAGAAAAAATAGGTGGACAATCACATTTGGTAGGATCCTTTTTGCTCAATAATAAAATTAATATCACTATGATATTATGAGTTATGATATTATGGTTTATGATATTACGATATTAAATTAATATCTTTGTGATATGCTTTAAAAAGGTAGACAAAGCATACTATAAGAATTCTGAGTGACGGAATCAGAATTCCAGATGATCTAAAACTGATGGCATTGAATTTAGTGCAATAATACAGAAATTAAAAGTACAAGTAGAAGCTGGGGGCGTGATTGGTTAGGCTGTCAGATGGGGGTGGTAGAGTGATGTTACAGTGCACTAGAGAATAAATGCATCTTGTCACCTTGATACATGACCAGGAGTGGTGAGTATCAGAGACAGGTTATTTTTCCACTGGCCTGAATATGCTGTGGCTGCAGTTTGGAGAAGTGTCCTCAGTTTTGGATTATGAGCTTTAAAAAGGATGTAGGCAGGCTGGAAGGATTGCAGAAGGTTGCAGTAACAGTGGCACGGTTCTAGAAAATATGATTCTGAGCAAAGGTTAAAACAAAATGTGTTCGGTAATGAAAGTAAGGGACAAATGTTATAGTTCTGCAAAGGGTGAGTTAATAGAGACGGTTTTTTGCCTGTTCACAGAAAGTATGGCAAGACTGAGTAGGAAATGTTAGATGGGACACAAGGAAAACATAGCTAATCAGCATGATACCTGTACAATAGAACAAGTTATATCAGCAACGTTAGAAGTGGAATTTCCTTTTGCGGGGAGTTTTTTGGAAGAGGTTTGGAGCCTGATGTTTCTGCTTACTCCCCTGCTGGATTTCAGATATTTTGGTGAGGATGTGCAGAGAGGGTCCTGGTCTCTCTTGTTTTCTTGAAGGGCCACCTATCTTAGGTATTTGATGTATCAAGCATTAAACTCATATGTTTCTTTAATTTAGTCTTTTAAAAAAGTGTTTGAGGTGAGCTGAGGTTGAGTTGTTGAGGTGTAGTCAAATGCCTTTTAAACTTCAGTGAATATGATTTGGATATTGAATGGCAATAGGATCAGCATACGCCTGTGCAGGAGTTTTAACTACTTAATGCAGAATTTACTTCTGTGCATACGAAATCTTAGGGGCTTGTTACGTGTAAATGAAATGCTTCCTATTACCTCTGGCATAGGGCAAGTTTAACACACATGTATCCATAGAAGGGCTTCAGTCACCTAGAAAATGTCTGTGAAAGTTCACCATTACATTCATCCCAATGACCATTTGAAAGGTAGTGAAAATTTCTGGAAGAGTAGTATCTACTTTTATTAGTTCAGGATTAAGCCATCATTATCTGGAACTTGAGCTTCTCTCCTCAATAGCTAAATTAAATTTTTACAATTCCTAAGGACAGTAAGTTGTAGTATGTTCCTTAAGGTACATATGATCTGTTGTGAGCAAACTGATCTTATTAAATAAATGAATTTAAAATTTGCATCAGTAATATTTACACAAATTCACTATTTTTTTGTTGATGTTTAGAATGTCAAATGCAAAAAATGCATTAACACTTTAAATTGCTTCAGTTGTGTTAATTGTGGTTTGCAGCAGTTGGAAGAAGAGCTATTCAAGCAGATGACTAATGCCTTGGTTTAAGAGAGATGGGCACACCGTCAGAAGTTGACTTCTGTGGCTTACGTGGGTGTCTAAGAGGCACAAATAGCTTCCTAACTAGTATAAAAAGTCATGCTTATTTGAAGTTGTAGTTGCTTCCACAGGTCGAAAGAGTACCTAGGGTGGAATAACTTCTTACAACTAGTCAGAAAAGCATTTACAGGAACACTTACTGGGCTCTACGAAGTCTGCGGTCGGCAGAGATATTGCTTGAGTTGCAGGGAGGAGTCTGAGCTGGAGCGTAAGGAGTAATGTGCTCTTGGGTAAGGAGAGTCCTTGTTAGTACTTTAATCAAACACCTGGATTGCTGGTGCTAATTGCTAATCATTGTTAACCACAGACTTCATCTACAATGGGTGACTGTTCTAGAAAGCTGTGAGAAAGCATTATTCATTTCTGGCTGCATAGTTTAAAATATATTTTACTGTTTCTTTTAGGGGTTGCTGAGGGTTGATTGTGATTAGATTTTCTTCTATTTGTGTTTTTTAGATGAAGAGAGATAATTACTTATGAATGAGTGTAATCAAAGTGAGGGTGTTTTGGTTTGTGGGTTTGTTTTTGTTTCTGGTTTTTTGTTATGTTTTGGTTTTTTTTGGTGTTTTTGTTTGTTTTTCCCAAAGGAAGCAGGCACTACTTTAAAATTTTAAAAAGTCACATAGGGAAAAATGTTCTCGCTGCCCTCCTTCAACAAGTCAGCAGCAAAGATCAGGGATGTTAATAAATACTCATTAAACTTCTATTTGAATTATTCCATAATTCCTATTAGGAATCGATGGGGTTTGGCTATTAATGTATTTTTAAGGTAATGTAGAGAGTGTCTGAAACAGGGATAGAGAATAACTTTGTATCACAAATTGCAAGAGAATGCACAATGCTTGCAGCTATTTTACTTAATTAAAAATATGTTTCCCTTTGTAGTCCCAGGATAATTTCCTAAGCAAAGTGCATCTCTTCATTTACAATTTGAGAGGAGAGATTAGAAAGCATACTGCTTCTGGACAGACTGGAGAGTTGGGCAGAGGGGAACCTCATGAAATTTAACAAGGACAAGTGCAGAGTTCTGCACCTGGGGAGGAGCAACCCCATGCACCAGTACAGGTTAGGGGTTGACCTGCTGGAAAGCAGCTCCATGGAGAAGGACCTTGGAGTCCTGGTAGACAATGTTATCCATGGGACAGCAATGTGCCCTGGTGGCCAGGAGGGCCAGTGGTATCCTGGGGTGCACTAAGAAGAGTGTGACCAGCAGGTCAAGAGAGGTTATCCTCCCCCTCTACTCTGTGCTGGTGAGGCCTCATCTGGAGTATTGTGTCCAGTTCTGGGCTCCCCAGTTCAAGAGAGACAGGGAGCTTTTGGAGAGCCCAACAGAGGGCCACGAGGATGGTTAAGGGACTGGAACATCTCTTGTATGAGGAAAGGCTGAGAGTCCTGGGGCTGTTTAGTCCGGAGAGAAGGCTGAGAGGGGACTATCAATGTCTATAAATATCTGAAGGGTGGCTGTCAGGAGGATGGAGCCAGTCTCTTTTCAGTAGTGCCCAGTGATAGGACGAGGGGCAATGTGCATAAACTGCAGCACAGAAAGTTCCACCTCAACCTTTACTGTGAGGGTGACGGAGCACTGGAACAGGCTGCCCAGACAGGTTGTGGAGTCTCCTTCTCTGGAGACCTTCAAAACCCCACTGGGCGCGTTCCTGTGCAACCTGCCCTAAGTGATCCTGCCTTGGTAGGGGGGTTGGACCAGATGATCTTCAGAGGTCCCTTCCAACCCTTACCATTCAGTGATTCTGTGATTCTGAAATTCAGCAGTGGCAGGGTGGGAGCTCTCTGTGCCGTTTCAGGTACATTTTTGGACCTGGACAAGAATGCCAGGTCAGAAGCTTTCCCTGTGTCTTGTCTGTTACATTTTTTTGTTATTAAACACAGTTATGGTCTTGTTACTCTAGAAAAATATGAGGATACTAGTGAGCATTTAAGCAGTCAGGGTAAATAGCAAGCCTCCTGTGCTAAAATATGACGTGTTACGGTTTGACCTAAAGACTGTGGCACAGATTTGTCTTCTGCATTACACAGAGGAAAGTGCAGGGTATGGGTTTCAGCATGACTTAGTGCAGTATGTGTGGACATACAAATATTCCCAACTATAAACAGGCAGTTGCACTACAGTTAGACTCCTAAGATTATTATGATTAATTGGAGAAGAAAATATTTTTTTTTCTTTCTCAGAACAACAGTGTTTTTCCCAGAATTGTCCAAAGTGGTCTGTATTTTGGCCAAATGAATGTAATTGGCTTGACAATGCCGAAGTCCGTAGTCAGCACTGTCTTCTCTGCCAGTGACATTATCTTTTCAAGGAAAAAGAAATAGCACTTCCACAAAACTTCAGGTTTTTAAAAATGCAGCTTCTGTCTTAATAAATGATTCGTTGGTTGCTAATAAAACCCCAAAGGGTGTTTGTCTTTTTTCCCCTTCTCTCTCTTTTTTCTTTTTTTTTTTCTTTTTTTACATTTTCCTTTTTTGCAAAGCCTGTGAGTTGGTAATTTCGGCCACCATAATTGCCCTTCTGATTTCCCTGGTATCCCAGCCAGCTTTCAGCAGTGTTACTTGGTGATGGGCAGTCTGATATTCAGTGTTTTGCGTAGTGTCTCAGCTGAGAGGCTGCAGTATATTCAGAACACAGAAGTGCGAGGAAGCCTGGGTGAAAGAGCAAGCTGAGTCCCTTCCTGCTATCGTCAACTGACCTCCTTCGTGGGGTCTGACTTTCTTGATGCCAATCTTCCCTTGTGGTGTACTTGGTTTCTGTTAAAGCTGGGACTTGCGGTGCTGGCATTTGGATGGGAGCTGAATTCATCCTTAAAAGTAGCCCATGCCTCTTGGGACTCAAGTGTTATAGACAAAATATAATATAAATTAGTGCAGATTTTAGTCTAGAGCTCTCATTTGTATTTGTAGCTCATTCTACAATGCAGTAGATTCTGGGGTTTTGAATGGGAACAGCAATCACATACAGAAAAGGAAAGATTTCTATGGTCAAAACAACTAGATGTACAGAGGATGGTACACTGTCTGATCCTATAGTGGCTAATAATCTAACTTATTTGCAAAAGATACTTCTGGTTATATACTAGCATTTAAAAAAATCTGCATTTTTTTTTCTTTAAAAAGACTGTTATTCATTATATACAAAGGTGAGCATGCTACCAGTTATTCTTATCAGAAGCTTTTAATACGAAACTGAACAATCATTGGTCCACACTTATTTTCTTCTATTTCATGTCTGTCTTTTCTGTGAGGTGGTATCTCATTTTTCACAGTTACTGCTGACTTTTCTAAAATGTGTTTGGCATGCCGGAATACTTATTAAAAAGGCTTAATTATTCTCTGTTCTTTGTTTTGAAATACACTGCACTTGCTTGTTCCTAATCCTTGAACTGATCTTTTCTTCCTTTAATACAAATACACTTATGTAAAGTTACTATCTAGATTGTTAGCTCCAATTCCTCTGACATAAGATACTTTCTAAACAGAAATCTGATTTACAACCAGATTAAAAACCAACTTGCTTGCAGTTTGGGAATAGGTTTTCAAGTCGAGAAGGACTGCACAAGCAGAAAGTCATCAGTTAGAAGAACTGGTCTGATTCAGACTTGTGATACTGTTTTTGTATTGGGTTTTAGCCTCAATTGTTTTGATTTTCTACCATCAGGGTCCTCCAGGTCCTCCAGGTTTTCCTGGTCCATCAGGAAAGAGAGGTCCTCGGGTGAGTAAAACAGCTATGTTCTTCTGTAGCTCTAAGCAGGTCACCGATAATCAAACTCCAGTTTGCATCATTTTGGTTTTCTCAACTTTATTTATATGCTTGGTGATTATGAAAGTGTATGGTTCTTAATATTTGGCAGAGAGGTTAAAGTAAGGCAAAGCAAACAGGTTTGGTTTACTTTTTTTTTTCTGCTGTGAGCCTCCAGCATAGCTAATTCTGTGTATGGGTGCGTACACAGCGTTGTTACATTTGTACCTAGCTTTTGCTGCCTGCAATATGAACTGTTCGTTTTTCCATGCTGCTCCCATCTGCTGCAATCTAAGGTCATGTTCATTTGTTTTTGGAATGAGGGGGAGTGAGCAATGCATGCCAGGGCCACGGAGGAGCAGGCTGTGGATACAAAATTAACCACTGCAAGGCAGTGGGGGGAACACTCCCAAAAATCTGTTTTAGTCTCTTGTGTTACAGCAGCTTAATAAAAGGGGTGATAAAAATCTGCATAATTTGCCCAATAAATTAGCTACAGCAGCAAACGTTGATTTGTTTTGTGTGACTGGGTGCACCCCAACATGAGCAGGGACAGCAGCCTTGCCCTGTGCCAGGGGACAGGGCACAGGCTTTGCCACAGTGAGCAGAAACCCGTGCCCCAGATGCCAAGAGCATGGGAGCAGCTCGCGCCACTGCAAGGACTAGTTGGTGGGGCAAAAGGGGGTAAATCCTTTCGGTAAATCTGTGTTTTCACAATTCAGTGTTTTAAAAAAAAAAAAAAAGCTTGAGGAGTCCCTGAGGTCACGGTTGATTTTGGGGAGTTTTAGGGAAAGGGCGGCTGGAGGGAACAGGTTAACATTTGTTGTGTAGAAGATTTTGGGCCTCAGTATTTGGGGATGTTAGTGGTTATGGCTGGAGTGCACTCATCGAGGCAAATCACAAGTGGGAGATAAGGGAGTAGTTTATATGAAGGCTCAGCAGGCGTGTGGGAGTTTTGACTCAGCCTTTGAGGAACGTTTAAACAAGCTGATGCTCAACAGTGTGTTGAACATCCTGTGCTTTGCTGGCTTTCAGAGCTTGTTCTGACTGGGTAGGAGAGTGCACTGGTCAACGGGGATGAAAATCAAACTGGTGCTTTAGAGCAGCTGGAGAAAGGGAGTGGATAAGGCATATTTAAAAGTATAAAATGAAAAGCATTGCTTCGAATCCGTATCTTCCTTGGGTCCTTTTTCAAATTACCTTTCTTCATAGGAGCTCACAGTTTCTATAAATCTGCTTTTTATGTTGCAGAGTGCCTCTGTTGAGGATGCTTTTCCATCGCAGGCAGGATTCCACATATCCAAGTAGATCCTCAGAAGTGGGAAGTTGTCTTTGGTTTGCAGGAGGCTGCCCATGTGTTTAAAGCCATGCCTGTTGCTTATCTTACTGCTCTTACCTTGCTCAGTTTTGGGTTGGTTTTTGTTTTTGTTTTTGTTTTTTTTTGCTGCAGGTCTTTTTTTACAGGTGTAGAGTACTTAAGAGCACAGTGCTCTACTGTGTGAGTTTTCTGGATTAATTATTGAATAGCATATGCTTTCCGATGTGAGGAGACAGCTTACAATAGGGTGCCTGAAAAAAGCATGTAAACGTCCAAGGTGAATATTTACCAGTAGTTCTGAGTTTAAAATACATACTTATATGATCCAAGAAAGCCTATAAAACTATTTGATCTTCAGTTTGCATAATACTGATATATTCAAGCAAGTACAACTACTGAAGATACATGGTATGATAGAGGAGTCGTCTTGAGCCAAAAAGCACATAAAGCCCTGGTGATGCAAAGTTCGTCTCTGCATCTACCAGTTTGCCCTGTGACTTCTGTCTTCCTTCACATAAACTGCCATCCTGAAATGTGACTTGAGGTCTCAACGGGAAGCAGCAGAGTGCAGAGCCACATTGCCTAGGCCTTCTTCAGGGTCTCTTGAGTGTGTGTCCAAACCTGATCCAGACAGATTCACAGGGGTTGGACACTGGGCACAGTATCAATGCCTGAGTAATGGTTAGAGGTTTCCTTTAAAAACTGATTTTGATCTCTGTAATTCCATGGCAGAGAAGTCCACATCTGACAGTTAAGTTTTTCTAAGTGTCTTGGCTTGTTCTGAGTTTCTCAATAATGAAATTTGAGCAATTTCAAAATTATCAGTGATGAGATGAAATTCCCTTGATGTGTCTCATTTCACAAGGATACTTTTGCACCTCTCTTTTGCAGTACTATGCCCCAAGATAATAATATTGCAAGCAGCAAAAGCTGGGAGCCACTTCAGGACTGCAGATACGTTGGCACTTTCAATTTGTTTCCTATCTCCTAAAATCCCTGAGAGTGCCTCCACAGTTGCCAGTGTGCAAATGATCTCTCAAACAGCACATGGGATTAGCATTTCTGTGGAGTTCTGCCAACATTGTCATTATGGAGAGGGAGTACTTGACAGATACAGCTTTCAGTGTTACTGCAAGGTGTAACTGGTAAATTCAGTCTCATGTGAGGGAAAGACAAACACTGAGTTTATCTGTGGCAAGACCACGGTGTATAATGAGAAAGCTGAAAAGGATTCTTCTTATTTTTGATATTTGGATTAATTGTTTGGGTGGAACTTTGGCCTTAGTGAATTCAATAAAAGCTTTGTTGCAGACTTAACAGGGATAGGTTTTCACCAGTTTGGTCCTTCGGTGTTTGGAAGATGACATTGCAGTGACTGTGTGCCAAATACCTGTTAAGAATTACTTGGGAAGGCAATAGAAACTGAGATTTTTAAAAGAAAGGGAAGTACTCAACTTCACTGTTAATTTTTTAGAAAGATGTGCATGTTTTATTTCTTGAGAATCCTTTGAAAATCCCAACCAGTGCTTCTAAAAGCAACAATGATGCAGCAAAATGATTCTCTGCAAACTGCTCACACTTGTTCAGTGGAGTACTGAATAATCCCACTCTTTTTTGTTGGTGTTTTTTTCCAGGGTATTCCAGGACCACATGGTAATCCAGGTTTGCCAGGATTGCCAGGTCCAAAGGTGAGTTAATATATCCATGTTGCCATGTAAATACATGAGCTTCTTAGTGACTTTTTGGAAGACCCAGAACTGTTTCCTATAATAGAAGCAATTGTCCTTCTTTGGTTTACAGATGGTGACTGTTACTATAAACATATTTTAATTAAATGTAATCAATCAAATTGAACTTCAAATCAAAACAAAATAGCAGTTTATTCAGGGAAAAAAGAACCCTGTGTGTGCAGAATGATGATCTGGAAACTGTTATCCATACAAGTAGTCTGTTCTTCCCAAGAGTTTCTGTAAATCAGCTCAGCCTCTTTGATAAACTGGAATTTAAATGAGAATAAACATTTAATTGCTGTAACCTTTTGCCTTGCGTTTTTAAAGAAAAAAGGAAGAAAACTAGAGTATCGTTCTCTATAAATTAGTCATTTTTTTGTCAGTACCCAACCTTTGATATTTAAATATTCTAATATTTCAGACATTATCAGTTGATATGCTAGAATAATTTGCTGAAGATTTATGGATGTGATATTTGAAACCAAAGAAAGACTGGAAGCTCAAATAAAATCCTTCAAACTTGTGTAACAGAGGCCCTTTAAATAGATTTGACAGATTTGTGCAGTTGCAGAATGCCTTCAACTCATATTTAGTTCGAACAATTTGATAGAATGTTAGGAAAAAACCAGCAGCAACCATGATGTGTTTTAGTATGATTCCTAATGGCAGGAATCTGACCTGTCATGACAGGTGTTAAAAACTGCTCGGGGATAGAAAAAGAAATTTAATAAAGCTTTCAGTGTCAAACACTGTAAAACCAAGTGATTCGTGTGCGTGTGCGCTTTTGTTATTATCTAGTTCTATAGGAACAGTTAAACTTGGAGATTAATTATTAATTTTTACAATATTTCTGATGGCTGTATAATAGAATACATCACTAGGAAAATAATTGTAACCAATTACTCCTAGGATTTGTTTTATAATGTATTTTGCCCTTCCACTGGATCATAATTCTGATCAGTTCTGTAGCTGTCTCCACAGTTTTAAGAATGGAGGGAATTATATGTGTATGCATGTACCTATATATATTTTTTTGTGTATATATATAAAATGCACTTGTCTTTGAAGCATGGAACAGCATTAGCTAATACCCTCCAGCCCTGACCGTGTGCTAGCTGTGCCAACCGATAGTTGATGTCCTCAGCATTTAATTCCTGATCAAAAGTTGATGGGTGTTTTTAAAGTCATTTAAAAGTTTTCATGAGCTTGGCTGTATTCCTGCCTCTCTGAAAAATGGATTAGTTAAGAAAATAGTTTGTGGGTTCTGGCACTGTTCTAACTACACTGTAATGTTACATAGATTAAATAATGGAGTGCTTTATCCTCACATCTTGACCTGTGGTGACGTGTTGTTAATCCACAACCCAAGGCCATGCATAACTACGGTTTTTTGGTTTTTAGATTAAAAATAATGAGGAATTAATTATGCTTATAGGGGGAAGGAGAGGCAACGGGTAAGTTGTCAGAAGGCCTGTGTTTTAGCTAACCATGAGCTGATCACAATTTTATTACAACTCTTAGTTTAATATGCCCGCATTGGAAAATGGAAGCAGGATTCAGATTGGAGTTGTTCAAGGAAAATAACTATTTACCTTCCAAAAGGTAAATCAGCTGGAAAATATTCAGATAACTGCTGCCATGCTGATGAATAATGTTCTCTGTGACCTGACACATCAATTTAAGACAACAGATTCATTTTGCCGTATTTCCAGGCTCTAGTATTCAGCAGGCTTAGCTTCTCAAGCAGCCTCACACGTACAAATCTTAACTGCGGAGGGAAGGAAAAGCCCTGATCTGCGGTACCGTGCGCAAGAGGAGGATCAGGCCCCGTAGCGTTTCAAGTAAGAGCCAGGACTGTAGCAGGGCTGAAATGGCTGACCGCCAGGAAGCCTCGCACTGCTTGTCTTGGACGTCCCTCCGAGCACCCAGTGTTGCCCCTCAGAGTAGGACTGTGCTGGCAATGTCTAAACACCTGTTTTTCCCAACTTTAGTTCTCCTTTCGGTGAAGGGCATACATCATTTTTGATCCAGCGCTGCTGTGGGATAACTTTGGTTGTAACATTTATTTCCTTGGCTACATAAAGCGCATTTTTGAGAAGAGTAGATCTTGATGCTTGTGAGTAACACCCAGTGTTACTTTACGGCTTTGAAATCGAGAGTACTGTTGTAGCCTTTGCCATTTATACGAACGGGTCAATGAAACGTTACAGTGCCTTTTACGTGCAGCTTTTATTAAGAATTAGACCAAAAGGGTTCCCCATTTCCTACTCAATTACTGTATTTTCAGTTATTAGTGCATGAATGTGGTTTCAGCCTATGGCTCTGGGAGCTCGCCGGGTGGCTGCTCGGCCAGTGTGAAGCGGGTCACCCAGGGCTGTCTCAGGAGGTGCCATTTGCTGGTGACTCCCTTTTTAAGGTCAGTGAATTTGGCTCTGAGGGGTGCGGGTTTGTGGTGGCAGAGCTGGCTGTCGCCGACAGCTCTGCGGGGCCGGCTGACCAGCCCTGGCTCCCTGGCCACGGCAGGCCCCGGGCCTCTGTGGCGGGTCGGCCTGCGGTGCCTGGTGCTTCGTGTGGCAGCGGGCTCCGGCAGCGGGGATTTGAAGTAGGAGAGACTGGTGTGGCAGGGGCCTTCCCCCCCCCGCGGCTGGTGTGGCAGCGTCCTTCCCCTCCCTGCGGCCTAGTCTTGGATGCAGACGGTAATTCTGGGCACGAATGGCGAGCTGTCTCACCTGCTGGGGAGTAATTTGTAACTGAACAGAGGACTTTGCTGCATGTTGACAGCTCCGTTCTTCCCAGCTGCGATGTCTGTGCTGCGTGGGGCAGGTACTGAGCGTGAGGAAGGCTGGACAAGATAATTAGTGCAGCGATACAGCCCTATGGTCTTGCACAGTGTTTGGGAAATAGGTGGTGTCTTGAAGTGGTGGAGACATGGGGAGAGCATTTCAGCTGGGATGTCTGCTGTTATCCTGCTTGGATTTACCAATAAAATCTGCTTATCAAAAGTTTTTGAGATGTTATGAAATTTGGAAAACCTAAATCCAATTTAGAGGTGAACCCACACTATTTTGTGGTAGTTCTTTACTGAAAAAGTATGAGAGAAAAATTTTGTAATAACAAGTGCATTTTATATGAACATTCCCCCTCTTGCTATAACAGTTAAAAATATTTGTTTCCACTTACATTATTAAAAACTCTCTTCCCTGATGATATTAATGAGATTAATTTATCTGCTTACAGGGCCCTAAAGGAGACCCAGGATTCTCTCCAGGACAGGCGAAGCGTGGAGAAAAAGTAATATTTTCTTATAGTACAGAAAAGTGTTTTGTCTGTCCCATTCTTTTGTTGAAGTCTTGTTCAATATTCAGATAAGCTATAACAGCACAATGCTTTGTATTTACTGTGATACTGGTATATTTTGACAATTACGTGAGACTGACTGGTGCAGACACAGGTAATGTAATAAAGCAAAGACAAATAAAAAAATTATATTCCAAGCTGAAATGTAGATTACATCTTTGAGTTCATTTCTAAAAATAAAATAAATAAAAAAATAAAAGGGAAATTCTTTTCAGAACAATGAAATTGAGTTCTGTTCACATTGATATAACAAAGTACAGTTTCCAGTTTTCTTTAGTACCTTGCATTAGTCCACAAAGTTGTGTAGGACAGACAAAATTTTGTGCTGACAAGTGCACACATTATTGCATGTCGTGTTGTATTTAATCACTTTTTTAACAGACTCTTGCTGCTAAGATTTGTCCTTACACTTCAGAGGCTTTTCCTGCTAGTTCCTCCTAAGCTGCTTTAGACAAACTAGTGGTTGCTCTCTCTGCCCGAAACATTTGATTATAAATATTTAAAATGGTTCTTCATAGAAATTGTGGGCTTGAAAGCTTGTGATCATTTCACTTTTAGACTGCAAATCTACTGACTGTGTATGAAACTTTAAATGTGATAATACTAAAAATGTAATTGCATGTTTGCATTCTAACGTGTTGGCCTGCACTATATCTTTTAGAATATCTTGCATTTATGTTAAGTTTTATTATGAATATTTGCTAGTAGTTCAATTGTGGAACATTTGTGCTAACTAGAAAACACTGTAGGAGTCCAGGACCACTCTCCATAATGAAGCAAGCAGTAGCAAATAACTATTGTTTGCTAGGTGCTGATGTGTACATAGAATAACTTTTTTTTTTTGATGCATACATTCTGTCAAACTCTAAAATTCACAAATACATTTTTTCAGTATTAAAGGGCTGCTGAGTAAAATTCAGAAATGTGTCTGTTGATGCACTGATAAGAAATGGAAGTGCAGCTTTTGTAGAAATAGCAATGTTATTTTAATCTAACCAGCTTTTGCTTTTGGCAGTCTAATCAGTGCTGTGAGCTGTGTGTGTCTACCTGAAACTCAAGGTATATTCTTTGGCATGAGCCCAAGCTACCACAGAACAGTCTAAAGTCCACCCATGTATATGCATGAGCTACACCTAAATAGGTGTAGAATGCATCTGTAATCCAAAAATATGGGATTGATATGCGTCTTTATACTTCTTGCTATTTTGGGTTCTTGATTTTTCACCCGAGTCAAATTTGCTCACCCTAAGTAATGGACTTGAATTTACTTTGTTGCTAACTCATTTCCAGGATCTGTTCCTTGACTCATTGAATTTGAATTTGGGCACTAATCCTGAAAGAGTGAGTCTCTTCACTGTCGGTCCTGAGCAAGGAAAAAAGAACTGTAACAACCTTCCCTCCTCCCCCATCTGCAACAACCATTAAAAAAACGCATCTTTTTCCATCTCCCTAGCATTGGAGATGCTCTAGTTCTCATTCGTGTATACTATCATGTGGTTAGTAATAAACATAAACAGTAATAGTAAAAAATATATATTAATTTGAGGGGAAACCACTCACTTCTGAGGGAGAGGTTACTTCAAGAATTGTATAGCTGTTTCACTCTCATTTATGTTGGCTAAAAGTACATGTTGTGAGGTTGTGAACTGAGTTTGTTCCAGCCGTGATTTTGGCTGTGTTGTATGATTGCCAGAGCATGCACATTGCACCAGGTGGTTGCAATTGAGGAACTGTTGCCTTTTCAATTTTCTTCTGCTAAAAAAAAGTATAAAAATCTCTGCCTGATAAAACAACATCAGCTACTTCTTCATACCAAATGTCCAAGAATACAGAGAAGATCTGAAGTCCTATACGTTTATAAGCCTGTGTCATGTTCCAGTAAAACGTCATGATTCTGGATGTTTTTGTTGTGCAGGGTGATCCAGGCCCCATAGGCTTTCCAGGCCCACCTGGGATCAAAGGCCAGAAGGTAAGATTCTGTTTCTGTTTTCATGTAACCCTCCCTGGCTCAAATCAATGGCCATCAGGTGAATGTGTGGTGGTCAAGAGGCGACAGAAGGGCTTTAGGCCTGCTGTTGGTACTGTTACTGTCTGCTGTATCAAGCTCCAGGACCAACAGTGCAAAACCTTAGCCTGCAACTAAATTAAGTGATATCATGGCCACAGAATGTAAATCACAGCTGCTTAGGTCGGCGTCCTTCAAAACGTATGGCACGGCCCTGCTTGAACAGAATAGGGACTAGGGAAGATAAGTTTCCCTGTGAGATACAGCCATTTTTAAATAAATTTTATTCAGGTTTTCAGTAATAGTTTTTTCATTTCTCTTTCTATATTGTGTGTTTTGTAGTATAGAAAAAGCTCTGTGGGATCATGTGCTCAGTACTTCCACACTGAATTACTTGTTTTTTTTCCAAAAGTAAAATAGGACTCGGGTGGAATAAGTTCTAATTTTGGATGCTACATAACACAGTATTTTTTTAATATGAGAAATGTCAGGTGCCACACACTGTGTGTAAGAAATATATCCAAATTCTGGCAGTCCTATGTATACAGGAAAGCATAAGGCAGACAGGTAGTTTTGGGAAGGGAAGGATGCATGAAGGATGTCAATAGAGTAAATGAGACAACCTTAAGAAAATGAGCACAGAAGACTGAGAGAGTGAATATAGTTTATGTGGAAGGAGAAGTCACCTGACATAAGTCCAGTAGGCTGCTCTGGTTAGTCAGATGGTGACAAACTGGTGAGGTGGCAAAAATCAACAAGAAGGCTCAGTGGAAAGTACTATTAAACACTGTTTTTGCAGAAGATAGTTCAGTGTTGCAAGTTTTAAAGTCTAGCCATTCATTTCTAGAATGGACCAAAACATAGTAAAAATGTGACCAGAAAAGGAAGCTATCACTGAATTAGCACAAGGAGTGTGGAAGTTTATTTTGCCAAACATGTGTCCCACAGTTCTCTGAACTGAGAAGATGTATAGCTGTGACAAGAATTTACATCCCCTCCCTTGAGAGTTAAGCTACAAACTTGGACACTGATAGCTTTTGTCACTGCTGATCTTGGGCCATCTTGAGATTCTCCAAGTATTGTGCTTTCTGATTTCATCAGGTTTGTAGTTGTGCTCTGAAAACGAAGTGTTTTTTGTTTTAAACCTTTTTAGATGGGAAGCAGCTGTCACTTGTTCTAGATTATGAGACTGACATTTGGGGGCAAGGAAATTAAAATCTTATGGCCATCATGCTCTCTTCCTGCCACAACAATTCACTCCTTATCTGAGGGTTAGAGACTCCGTGGAGAATTGTGCTCACTTGATCACTGGAAATTTTACTCTCTGTTTCCGTGTTGTACACATCAGACGCTAACTAAAACCATGTTTAAGATAACTTCTGCCTGACCCAGGTTGTAAGAATACCAGCTTTTGAACAGCGCTACACCTGTAAACAGTTAAAAGTATTTCATTCTTAATTTTTTTAATGACAAACCCACAGTTTATTATGTTTTAAATAATTGATCTTTATTGCTTTTCAATATACATAAATAGATAAACACACTGTTAGCTCGTGATCTCAGAAATTATTTTTAAAGGAATGTGAGCACAAGTAGCTGAGAAGTAAACCAGCTACAAGAAAAAACTGCAGAAAAATCAAGTACTTCCATTTTTGTTTTGTACCCCACTAGTACTGGGGAATTGCTATAATATTGAATAAAATATTTCCGATATTCTTTCTCATCCAGGTAAAAAGGAAGATAAAAAAATCCTACATATGAGTTAATAGTGTCCCAAATTCTATTTAATTTTCACAGTCAGCTTAACTGAGTAGTTTCTAAACAGTGAGATATTTGATAGTGAGTAAAAACTCTAATGTTTTTCCAGATATTTCTAATAGTGTAATACAAATTTGTGTTTGTTTCATCACAGTTACTTCTTGTCATATTGAATCTTGTCAGTATTTTCCTGAAAGACCTAGAAATTTGAGTGTTTTTTCTTTATGGAATTCATCATCCATTTCCCATTAGCTGGAGTGGTGGCTTTGGAGAGCTTCAGGTTCCCCACTGCAAAGCCTGCTGCCCTCCACTGGGCATGATCACCCCACGCCAGGGTGGCTGTGCCTGTGGAGGAAACTGCATTTAACAAGTTTTCTAATCAGAATTTGCGTGGTTCTGAACTTCCTGTGCAACATTATTTGGTGCTTATACAAAAACAAGTGTTGTGGAAGTTTGAAGCAAGTGTGCATATTGTTTTCACTTTTTTTGACCAGAATGACTTTGAGAAGCCATATTCCATGTGTTTTTGGTTCTGGTTTTCTGAATACCTGAGACCGTGCTAAGAGAGTTTCTTGGAAAGATTCATTTTAACGAAAAAAAAAAGAGATTGTTGAAGCCCTCAATGCAATAGAAAAGTACTAGTAAACTACTGTTTTGGATTAGAAATATAAAATTATGTATTTCTTTTTATAAAGCTGAGAATCTACGTTTGTTTTACTATCTCATTAAAAAAACTGTATGCTAATAATCAGGACTCTGGGAACAGGTTATTGTGATTGACTTTATTTTTTCATTACATGCCATGTGTCAGAGTATGCATCCTTGTGGTAGCATATAAAATATGACATATTTCTCATGCCTGACACTATAAAAAGGCAAGTTTTGCTCAGGGTAGGGCTCCAAATTTGTTCTAGTGTAAGAACAGAAACTTGCATGTTTATGAAGTGTTGAGAGGCCTGTTTCTTTCAGGCATATTTTGAAGCAGAGAAGCAGTGGTGGGAGATGAGGCTTAGTTTGAGGAGAATGCTGTTTCCAGAGCAGTTGCATGGATCTCATATCTGGAGCTGTCTTGACAGGGCTGTCTTTAAATCAGCACTCAAAACTTTCCTTGTATCAGCCCAGAGACTTCACAGAGCAGAAGCCTCCCTCTTCCCCCTCTCCCCAAAAGGGCCTACTTCACTGTACAGACAGGCGAGTACTTGCCTCTGCTAGCCAGAGTACTGGGGGGTGGATTGTCAGCTGAAGGACAGCACTCCTGGGCGTTGACTTGCCTGGGATCATGCCAATATGTTAGAATGACTGCAGTGTCTGTGTGGTTGGAGGCACTTTACAATGACATTGGAAAAGAATGTTTAAAAGATTGGCTACAGTTTTGGGGCTAGCTTTATTCCCTATCTAATATGTGCGTAACAGTAAATTACAGGAATCTGGATCTATAAAATCCTGATAAAATTCACATTCTAAAGTATAGTATGGTAAGACATGTTGAAAGAAAAAATTTTGTTGCAACCACGGAAGGGGTCCATATTTCCTTTTGTCTTTACTTTATATCCTGTAAAGGGAAGGCAGATAGATACACTTCAAAGCAGTACCTGGGATGATGTCAACATTATGCTACCAAGTGTCTACCACCGCTTCTTCTAGAGGGTGCAATTTTCCTTGGGCAGGTGGAAACTTCAACTCTGTGAGACAAATTCCTCTGCTGAATTGGATGGAGAAAAGGTCCATCTTTTATATGTAAGCACTTTTTTTAAGGGATATTTCCATTCATTAGGATATTCTGGCTAAGAGGTGTTAGGTGAAATCTTAGTTGTGTTAATAAACACCAGCAAAACAACATAGAATGGAGCTATGAAGGAAGAAAAAAAACCCCAAACCACCAAACCATTCGCCAGTGAAGAAGTTTTGCAAAACTGAATACCATGTGGTGACAATGTAGAACTGAATACCATGTGGTGACAATGTGGAGCTGATAAGTAAGCATTGCAATGGCTCCTGTGACAGCACATGGCAATCTTTATATGCTAGACTTACCCCATGCCCAGAAAATATTTTTCTGGCACTTTTCAAAGATTAATATCTCTCTGTAGCTGATGGTTGTAGCATTAGGTATAACCACCTACTGACTTTTGGAAATTACAGAAACTTCTTGGTTCTGTAGCACAGTTGCTGGTGTTGTGCCAGATGTATTTTAATAACAAATGCATAGAAATTCTAATAAAACACAATGGGCACCAGTAACATGGCTTGCTGTTATGATTTAACATCTATATTTTGTTATATACAGATTTGACTCAGTCTGGGTCCCACCATATGGTAGAAGTCAGACACTTAAACTTGCTATGAAGTCTTTTCTGAGTCTTATTAATTGGCGGTAAAGATTTTTCTCTCATGCGGACTAAAGTATTCTTGCAACTCGCAGTGGTTTTTGTAATGTACTTGAAGTCTGTATTACTGTCATTGGAAACTTCACACCTTTCTCTTCCACATTGAGCTTTTTAATCAGAGCATTAATCTTCATTAGAAATTGGGGGGTATTTCATTTTGCAAACCAGTGCATGTGAACTTGTATTCTTGTTTATTTTCATCTTAGTTCAGAGCAAACTGGGTCTTATTTATACGGGTATGCTCAAGAATACAAACTCAAACTAATAAAAAACTAAGAATTTTAAGAGGATTAGCTAAGTCACAGGAAAGGAAACCCCTGTGTGAAAACTCTCTCTTTTGAATTATATTCATTTTAGCGTGGTTTATCTTCATTCCAAATCAGCGTTGAGTGAGTTAGAATGAATAAAGGCCATGTTAACTGAATATGGGCATATAAAAGAATATGGGCATACTACTCTAAAATATGAGTTCAGAGCAGTTTTCCTCTGGCAGATGTAAGATACTGTTGTGTAGAAACATGCACACCAGTAATTGGTCCTTCTTCATCTCACAGGTCACAGTTAATCAGCTAAACTGACCTGCTTTGAAACTAAATTGTGATAAACTTCTCTTTGAATGTTTCTGTGTATAGCAGTGTTTGCTTTCCTTTTCTCCTTGTATGGAACTACTGAGAGATTTCTTCTGGCAACACCTGCTTTAGTTGATCATTTAAGCACAGAGGATAAAATTCTGAAAAGGGTAAAACTCATAAAATAGAGTGTGCTGGGACTGTAAAAAAACCTACATGGCTCTGAGGCACATTTTGAAATCTAAAGATGAGGTCTTGGCTTATGCTGGCATCTTTACTTCTGCTTTAACAATTCAGTAAAAAAATTTGGTTTTAAGCATGCATTAATATAATAAATTGGGATATCATATTAACTGGTTTATTGAAGATCAGCCCCTGGCTATACATGTTACAGATTTTCATTTTTTTCCCACCAACAGCAACACAGACCCGCTTCCTTAGTTACAAGATAACATAAATTATTTAGGCTTAAGCTACAGGAAATGATTGAAGCCAAAATACATTATAATTTTGCAAACTGGCAATGCCCTGTGTGTGATTTGCAAAATGAAAAGACACACCTGCTGTGTAGCATTTTGAGAAAATGAGACCTTTGGTTTTCTTAACGAGTACATCTCTTTTGGATCAAGATTCCTCAAGCAAGCCTATAATAGCAAAATTGCAAATTTTGAAGCCTGACAGATGTCATTCTCTTCTATTACCTAAAATGATCACCAAGCAAAAGCATTCCATCTTTTAATTTTGTATATGATAATAAAATTAATTTCATGCGACAATACTCTTGTTGTTACACAGAAGCTTATCCAAAACTTTGGGATACCTGATATGCTGAAATCAGTTGCAGAATTCCTTCTTATTACAGTGGATCTCAAATCTCTACTGACTAATAAGTATCATCATGCCACAAGGCAGCCAGATGTTTGACATCAGACAATACACTCCTGCAACTCAGTGTCTTTAAGGCCCATTTTATGATAAATTTCTACCCAGAATAAGGATTGTTTTGGTCTTTCTCTTTCAAGCTGCAACTTTTGGAACTTGCATATTCCTAGTACCTCTTGCAAGGGATGTGGAGACCAGACACTTGGCTTCTGCATCAATCATGTAACTGTTACAGGCTCCCTTTTAGGCCAGCTTGTTTGGGTATGTTTAGTACAGTGTGAAGACATCCAAGAAGGTTCCCCTTTCAAGTGTACTGATGCAGATGGCAGGTTCCAGCTCTACTTTTAATTCTTTTTTTTCTTTAAGAGCTAAAATATGTATGAGATGGTCAATGTGCAGGGAGGAAACTTTGACAGCTTCATGATTCCAGCACCACAGGGAACATTTCTGGGATGAGGAACAGGCTATTCTCCCTACCGATACAAAATTCCATAATATAAGGGCTGAAATTTTTTCTATGTTAATGTTAAAAAGAGAAATCATGTGTCCTGGAAGGTCCGTCCTTGAGAGTGTCCTAGAATAATATGAGATGACCCTCTACTTATACCCCTCCTCTGAACTGCCTTGTTCTGAAAGGACATAGTGACAAGGATTTGGAATGGGGAAATGCACTGTACCAAATCCAGTTCTGCAGCTTCAGCAATAACTGGGAGCAGCATCCCATGTACTCATTTGTTTAAAAGAGTACAAGTCTGGAACTGTCTTTAAGCATGCTGATATCTCAAAATTGTCTAAACTGCCATGAAGATTTCTTACTCCTTTTCTCTAACTCAGCTTTCATATGTGCTGCTAAATGTAAAACACACTAATGCTGCTGGCAAACAAGTTTGGATAACTTTTTTCTTGATAAAGGGAGATTGGAGTAGGCAAAAAAGGTCAATTTTGTGTGTATAACTGTATTTGTCACATACCTGTTTCTCTACCTGCAGGGTCTTAAGGGTTATCTGGGACTGCGAGGGCCACGGGGTGAGCAGGTAAGTGATGAAAGCACAGTACACTACACAGATGAACAATTGAAGATAGAGAAATGCATTCAATATGAGCAATCACAGTAAATTACTGACTGCTTAAGGAGATACTTGATCGTTCTTGACCAAGAATTCAGATTATTTAGAGATCAGTGTGGTAAAAAATCATCTAAATGAAATGGAAAAGACCACCTTGTTTTTCTTCAACTACCACACTGGCTTGGCAGAGGTTGATGTAAAATTCTTGTTAGAGGTGCAGTTCAGATTCTTTCAAAACCTCTATTGATTTAATTCATTTTAAATCTTATAGCATGTAGAAAATGAAATGGTTATTTAGTGCTTTTTCTCCCTTCCATGTCAGTTCAAGAAGCAGTCTGGGTGTAAATGTTAAAGACATTCAATTGCTGATGCATCTTGTTAGCGTTAATGGGGCTTCTCATGGCAGAGTAGATGGAAGCATGAGTCCCCTTTTGGATGACACTGAAAGGGAAATGGTGATCGTAACAGATGATAGACACCTGAAGGAGATGAAAACTCAGTAACATCATCCATGACTTCAGTGAGTTTTATACACAAATCTTATTTGAATGAGTGGTGATTTTTATTATAGGCCCATAGGCATTTTGATTTGACAACTATAATTTAGCAGTGAGATAGAGATAGACAGTGAAACAAAAAAAGTCATTCTTAACATCAGGAGAAGAGTGCCTTAATCTTTGAAGAAGTTGCAGATGAAAAGTAATCAGTTACCATGGAGCGGAAAAACTGAAGCTTGCAGTGAGAAGTAATTCTGCTCATTATTCATGCAATCAAGCATGTAAGTTCCTTCAAAGACAATTCTTGTTCAAGAATGTGAGAACTGATGATGTGCACCTGTTTGCTATCTCAGTGTTCTTATACTGCTGCTGTAAATATTTTTCTTCATTATTATCACTTAGAAAATACTCGGACATAACTTTTAAGAGAGTACTTTAGATGAAAGAGTTTTATTTTGCACATAGTTCTTACTGCTGGTATTTTCAGCCCTGGCTGCTGAAAGTGATGAGTTAGACTAGTTACTTGTCATCTGTAGCACCTACCTGTGTCTGTAGTTTTTAGAAACTTGTACAGTGAGGACTGACACTCCTCTGAATTTATGAATTGTAGAATCTCTTGAACAGCTGGTAACAAAGGAGAAGTTTTAAAAGATAAGTTGTAAATGCAGTGATTCTACTGCTTTTTTTAGTTTTTTCATATACACATATTTTGAAGTACAGCTGAGCCAAAATAGGAGACCATGGATCCCAGTTCCATGATAGAACATCTGTCAGAAGATGAATCACTACCGGTTGAAAGCCCATGACAGAATCATCTGAAAGGCAGCTCATTTTAACAAAAAATACTGCAACTCCTTTTTGCATCTGCACTTCTGAGTTCTGCTTCCTAAGACTGCTGTTTCACCATAAATCAGCTGTGAACAGCTTGGAGAGGAAGTCCTGATCCATTGCTACGGTAACATTGACATACGACAGTGGGTGGAAGGGTCAGACCGGGAGAGTGTCCAATTTATGGACTGGGGTTGTTTAAAATAAAATTAACTGAACAGCGGTAGATGGAGCTTCATGGTGATGGGGCCATGGCATTTGGCACCATTTCAGAAAAACACATTTTTCTGAAAATAAACTGTCAGATGTGCAGATGTTAAGTAATAAAACAACAACAAAAATTACTTTTGGATTTGATTAGGAGGAAGAAGATGGAGAGAAGTTGTATACATTCATGACTAATCCAGTGCTGTATTGACCTGATTCTGGAAGAAACAGAGAAATTTGGCTTTTTAAGGACACAAGGATTCTTCTTTAATGAAACATTTAACACATTTGTTCAAATACAGCTAAGACCAGTGCAGTTACTTTATTATAAGAGCCTGTCTCCTACAGTCCTCCTCAATTACTTTTCCATAATAAAAATCTAGATGCTATTTATAAAATAAGGGGTGCATTGTTGTATTTCACAAAATCTTAAATTACTCTTCTTGTAATGCTTTTTAAAGGATATGTAACCGAAATTCGTGGAGTTACTTATATATGATGAGTAAATTTTAGGGTGTTGCTGTGTAGGTTGATTAAAAAAAAATTTTTTCCATGTGTCATATGACTAGGTGTTAAAAGAGAAATTATAAAACAAATGAGCTCCAGAACATGATATTAAGCCTGTTTTTTGTTTCTTTCCCCCCTCTTTTTTCTTTTCTTTTTCCACTTAGGGAATTCCAGGAATGGCTGGCAACATTGGGGCAGTTGGTTACCCTGGCAGGCAGGTGCAGTAACTATACTAATGTCTTTGCAGTTTTGGCAATTTTCTTGTTTGTTCTTTTCAAAAGTACCACATCTAACTCTTTTGGAACTCTTGGAACTAATAATAGTATGAATGTATTTGTTTACCCCTTATCATTTATCCGTGAAACAAACCTCTTTCACAGGTAGTGCCCTTTAGGTAATGTTGAGTCTTGTGGCTTTAAACTTGGATGGGTTAGATGCAGTAATGGTGTACCTTTCTCAAGTACGTAAATGGCACTACCAATGTACTGAATTTCTAAACACTTTATGCTCCTTTATAAACGTCTTGTGGTTCTATGTGTTTTATCTTCCAGAAGCAATAGGAAACTGTCTGTTGTAGGATGTAGTTCCTCCTGATTTTCACCAATGTGTTTACTTCACTGCTGAAACTATTTCTTCAGCCATTTAGGGAAACAGAACATTAAAGGATCCCCCCCTTCAGATATTTAAGAACAACAACCAATAAAGCTGGAAAGCAGCTTTTTATAAAACACAAGCACTTACCTAAATATTGATTTTATTGTTCTCAATTTACATATAAGCTAACAGATATCTCAGTCCAGTAACACAAATAAGACATGAAGTAGACATATTCATTATTTTCCCCATATAAAGGTATATGAGCCAAATTCAACAATTGACTTTGGTTTTGTGTCTGCTTAAAGGGTGAATTTGACCACTGCTTCAGCATTTTATTGAATTAGGTTTATAATGGCTCTATATTTTAAAATTCCATTACAGTGTTTTGTAGAGTAATGGATGATAACATGTTTGTGTTGAATCACATAAAATGTTTAGAGCATTTGGACTACATACGTTATTCTGACATTAGGTTGAAAATAATTGGAAATCTGTCCAAATATAAAAGCTTATGAAAAATCCTGTGAAATTTTGTCACTGTAATGCCAGATCACTGGGTCTGGAAAAAAATTTTCTCTCAGAAGAACTAATTTTAATGTAAAGGACGTTTCAGTCATGAATTAATGGAAGACCTTTCTGAACATGGTCCCAGGGGACTTGCTTGATGACGCCCTCTTCAATCCCGGTCATTTTAAAAATGTATTGCCAATTTGCAGTTAACAAATACGGCTACAGATCTTTTAGATGGATCATATCTGGTTGTTTAAAATGAAGTATAACTCATGTCTTTTTGTAATAGGGCTTAGCTGGACCAGAAGGTAACACAGGTCCTAAAGGTGTAAGAGTAAGTAAAAATTTTAAACATTTTGGCATGCATTTCTATTTTTACCCATACATAAGAAAGGGGATGAGGAGTTTCATTCAGCTCTGACAGTTGTATGCCCACTGAACCACTCTGTCTTTACAGAACCTGCAAAAGAAAAAACATAGTGTTTCTTTCAAAATATGTGAAAGGATTTAATTTTTTTTTTCCTGTGCTGAGCAGCATAGAGCAGTCTTACATTGTTGCCCTTCCTCTCGCTTGGAATGCATGCAGGCAAGAGAAGGAAAGCAGTACTGAATGTGGGTGTGTGAGAGCTGGGAGTGCAGAGGAGCAGACATTTCCTGCCTGAAGCATTATTTCCATAATGGAAGCTGTCAAGAAGGGAGACAAATCTGGCATTTGCAATCTGTAACAGCTACAGAAGTTGATAAAGGGAAACAGTCTTGTCACATAAAACCATAAAAGTGGTCTTGAGATTTTGAAATGGTTCGGTTGTAGTTATGTATATCCTAGGGACTGAAGGCTTGTAATGCTCTGCTGATTCAAGGTTTGCTTTTGATTATTCTTGGAGGTAAAATAGGTTGGCTTTTTTCTGTGTTTCTTTGTTGTTTTTTTTTAATAGGCACATATGCATGCCTACACATGCTTGTGTAAGTGGTTTTTTTTTCAGACTCTTACCATCAGGCAGTAGACGTGAAAACTTTCCGGAAACCTGCATGTTGCTGGTTGCACCTCAGATTTGAGGGAACCTTTTGCTAGGTGTTTTCAGGCCTTCAGCTCATGCTGTACAGGTTGCTGAGCAGTGTGCTGTGTTATCAAGTATCTAGTAAAAAAATCTGATTGTACTGCTAGATTTGCTTTTGTCCTGTTTTTTTTAATGTAGTTACTAAAAACCTTTAACTGCAGCAGCTTCTTAAACATATGTCTGGGGTTTTTTAATGTTAGTTTTCATTACAGTGATGGAAAAAATTAGCTTGTCAGGATCAAGTGCCAACAGATATTGCACCCTCAGGGATTGTAACTTTTACATTTCTTCAGTTTATTTTTGCTCAGATTCTCAATGCATTTTGTCTCATTCTCCTCTCAACCAACACGACATTAAGTGATCCCAGTAATTTCCTGAAAAGTTACTACTTCTCTGTTTACACAAAGCTAAAAATGGCCAATGTATGAGTAATTTTAGAGAAAAACACCATCATGTCTTAAGGCTAAGTCCTGTATATGGATTCTACAAGCAACTTCCACTAAAATGACGACACAGCCCTGTTGAGACATACTACTGTGCCATGGAGGAGTATAGCAACATCATACAAAGTACCTTTAGAACTTGAAGTTTAGAACATTCCTGCAATCAAACTATGGTCTGCTTCTCAGTTGTTTTAAGAAACTAGAAAAAAGCAATGCCTTTGTTTTCCTTACTTTCATTAGGGCTGGATGACAAGATGGGCACTATCTTTCATAACAAAAAAAAAAGGGCAACCCAAAACCCCCAAATCATTACAATCTGAGGACTGAGAGAGAGATGAAAGCAAGGGATTCTTTTTTAGTAGCTAATAATATTTTTGTTCCAATCTCAGTTTGAATCTGGTAGTACAGAATCCATCTATATTAGTATTTTTGTAAATCATAGTATCATTTCTGCTGAGTCAACAGCATGTTTCTGTGTCCCTACAACTGATTATATGAGAGGATCTTTTTCTGACTTTCTGAGGGGAAGGTGGGAGAGAAATGCATTATGACCTAACTTTAAGAAAAACATTCTGCTTATGACTATGTAAACTTTGTAGGACTCTTGCATATAGCAGTGATCATACTGTTATTAAAGATGAGAACAATGTTTTTTCATGTATTTCATGAATAAGGTTAACTTCAGCAGCATTTTCATATTTAATCTATTCTAATAAATAAGATCTCTGATGCAACTTTGTCTTATTGGAACACTTTTTAGTACTTCTTTATTAATTGACTCTGTACACTTGCTGTTGGTTGGAGAGTAAATCCTAGACACATTTAAGTTGATTGAGCTTCCCTGGCAATTTCAAATGAGCCTGAACTTAATCCCTGGATCTTGAGCCCACAACTGGCCAATACTGAGGGACAAGCAGTTTTGGTGGGAAGCAGCCTTGTAATCAAGAATTGTTCTTATGTTTTTAGGGTTTCATTGGACCTCCAGGTGTGGCAGGACAACCAGGACCTGAAGGAGAAAGGGTAGGTTTAATGCAACATTAATGAAATATTGATGTTTGAGTGGTAATGCAATATATGTTAGGGGAAAAAATTTACAAGGCATAACCATTCATTTAAGTCTTAAAAGCAAAACTGATGCGGAGAAATTAAATAGGTTATATCTAATTAGCCTAATCAATTAAATGCCCTGGTGCTAAAGTTAAATGGGGAGCAGCTGCAAATTATTATCTGAATTTAATTTACAGCTGTAAAGACTAGGGGTATTTTTTTATAACCACCAAGTCCAAAATTAATATTTTTAATTGAAGCAATTTTGTTCAGTCAATAATTAATATTTGTTAGTTGTCAGATGATGTTTGCAATGGAACCAGCCATGGAAATCTTAGTCTCTGTCACTCTGTGCCTGAGCTTTTCCTTGCTTCTCTTGAGCACAAAGACTGTCTGGCCATGTACTTTGATGGAAGCCGGATATGGCCCTTCTTCATAGTGGTTCTGACGGGGCCACAGTAAAGACAAGCAAAGTTTGTGTTTCTGTCTCCCTATTATAGGATATTGTCTCTATGATTCATTGCTCAACTCCTTTTTTTTTTTTTTTTTTTTTTTAATGGTGCTTCTTCTCACACTGTCTTTTCCAATCAAATGCAGGTTTAATTACTTGAATTTAAGCTATTGAAGAAAAGAAAACTTACTTATGATGGCTTATTTCTTTCTCAGGGCATCCCAGGCTTCCGTGGAAAAAGAGGTCCTAAAGGGAGACAGGTAAAGCTTCCAACAGTTGTTACAATTTCTGCTGCCAATGTAAATACACCTGTAATGCACTCTGTAACTCTAACCACCTGAAAAATGTCAGGTTTATTTTTTCCATAGGTGACTTTCTATTGTTTCCAGTTAGTACTTTGCAGTACTGCAAATTCTGTTCAGGTTATAACTACTAGATGTTCTGAAGTAAGGAAGGCTTAACATGATGAGCCTTGTGGCTGGTTACTGATATCACTTACCTGAGGGTTGAAAGATGGCAGAAACAGGTAAGTACATTCTGTCAAATTAGTGTTAGCACAAGGTGCAGATATGAAGCAAGTTTCGTAAGTCTGGTTATGGTGTTGGTTTGAATATTTCTGGACTATGGTAAATTAAAGCTGTCCTCTGCTTAAACTATATTTCTACAGCTGAGAATAAACACAAATCTGCCAAGTATACATTACCAAGGTTTACATATTTCCTGTGGTACATCTTCAATGCCAAGTCTTTTGTTTTCTGCTGCAACCTTATTATTTTAGGTCTTCGAAGCTATCCAGGAGTTTCCAATTTTGACTTGCTTGTGGTTTGAGATTGGAAACTGTGATAGCATTCGCCAGTTGTGCACTCAGTTGCGCTCAGCAGTTCAGATGACTTTCTTCTATCACGTTGAACAAGCTTGTTCAGCAGTAGTAGGGTGATTACCATCATTTGGCCCTTGATGTATGCTATGAAAGTTGTGGAGGATTCTGTTTAATTATGTTTTGTTTTGTGCGTGATCTAACACCAGCCAAAAAAGGCACTAGCCTTCAGTAGAGTTCCTTTTGATGTAAAGAAAGGCATGCAGAGAAAAGTTTCATGAAGCTGGTAGACTGCTCTTCCTGAAGCTGCTATCAAAATGTTAAGGTATAAAATCTAAGAATCTGTTTTTTAATTATTCAGCTAGCAGGACAAGGGTGCTCCTGTGCTTGTCGACGATATTGTAGTTTGCTTATAATTTAAATCAAATGTTACTTCGTGCATCTGAGTGTTGGGCAAGAAGGGGTCTGTGCCATCAGTACGTTGTAGTAGTCGGCAGTGTGTTGTGCTAGTGAGTGACATGAAGCATTTGAGGAGGAGGAGGACCTGGATGGAAAGCAAAGGCTTGTGTTCACTGTGGAAAAGGAAGAGGAGGTGACAGCAGGGTACTCTGAAAACATATTTTGCATTATAATCTCATTCTTAGTGGCAGGTTTCACTGAGGCTTCTGATTGCCAGTGTATTAGTTTGTTTCAATCCGTAACAGTTGGTGCTGTGCATGCTGTGGTAAGCAGTTATTTTTCATTTACAGTAAGAACACTGGGCCCCTCACTACAAGAAGGTTGCTGAGGTGCTTGAGCGTGTCTTGAGAAGGGCAACGAAGCTGGTGAGGGATCTGGAGAACAAGTCTTATGAGGAGCGGCTGAGGGAACTGGGCTTGTTCAGTCTGGAGAAGAGGAGGCTGAGGGGAGATCTTATCGCTCTCTACAACTACCTGAAAGGAGGTTGTGGTGACATGGGTGTTGGTCTCTTCTCCCAACTAACTAGTGACAGGACGAGAGGGAATGGCCGTAAGTTGCGCCAGGGGAGGTTTAGATTGGATATTAGGAAAAATTTCTTCACCGAGAGAGTGGTCAGGCATTGGAACAGGCTGCGCAGGGAGGTGGTGGAGTCACCATCTCTGGAAGTATTCAAAAAATGTGTGGATGTGGCACTTCAGGACATGGTGGCATTGGGTTAAGGGTTGGACTCGATGATCTTGAAGGTCCTTTCCAACCTTAGTGATTCTGTGAACACAACTTCTATCAGTGCCAGGCTATGATCTGATAAGGACTTTTATTTATATAAATCAATTCAGAAAGATTTCATATAGGTGGCAGAGCACCAAAACCACCTCTGCGCAATGTCCTTGATTACAGAGGAATCAGTACTGAATGAAGGTAATGTTGTCATTTCCTCAATGCCAAGGTTCAGTCCAAATTCTTCTATGATCTATAAAGTACTTATTTGACTAAAGGCTGCTCATACAGGGACCAAACCAGGAGAGCAATCACATGGGAACCTGGCTTGAAGTACTTTGCTGGATCACAGGGTTAGAGAATGTGTGTTATTTTAACCCCAGACAATCATAGCTGTGATGGCAATGTCTTTCGACACAGTGCCCCAAAGTTAACAACTCTGGTGCTTTGGGGCAGGGCACTGTCCCTAAGGAAATTTGTCATCGAAATAGCATAGTATCTGAAGTCAGGCTCCTCACCTTGTGTTCTAGGATGCAACTTATTTCTTTGGACAGAACTTCTGACAATAATAATTCTTAGGGGAAAAAAAACCCTGTCTGACAGAGATCATTCTGAAAAAAAACAGATCCCAAATATGATCTCATTTTTGGAAAATAGTATTAAAGTATAATAAAAGTGGATCATACAAGAGGTTGTACACTTACAATTCAAAATGCTGCTACTCAGCAGGTTTATTAAATAGTTATTCATATTTGTATCATCTCTTACATATTTGAAATGGAACAAAGTATTCAGTTATAAAAAATCTTTATTGTGAAGATTATAGAGCGAGGATTTGTTTGAATTTTAGATTAGTCTTACATACAATATGCTTTTAAAGAAAATACTTCATAGTAAAAGCATATTTATTCAATATCCTTCTGTTGTATGCTTGAAATATGGAATTTTCTTGAAATATGGAATTTTCTTGAAATATGGAATTTTACAATACATTTTCATGTTTGTGCAAAAATTTGGCCAATTGATTGAGAATCAATGAAATCTGCTTTATTGACCATTAACCTATGAACCTCTATTGTTTAAATGATAAGACAGTAATTCTGTAAAGACCTGTACTGTTAGATCTTACAGTTATGGCCATAGATTCTTGTTTGTGAGCTCCATTATTAGATCCTGAATAAAAATGTCATTGTTGTAAGAGGCATTCCTATCTTTTGCTTTCCTGAAGTTGCAGGAGAATGTAGAAAAAACTCCAACCAAAATCAACCCAGAAAGATGGTACAGAGAATGTTAAGCATGCCTCGGATTAATTCACAGTATCATGCATGATGATGGGAATTAAAAGCCTATTAAGTTATTTCAACATATTGTTTTAGCAGTGTATATGCATACATATACACATAAAAAGTTGCCTTAATTTTTATAGAAATCTGGTTTAAGTGATTGATTAAGCCATATTTGGCTTTAGTAGTACTTAAACTACTTTGGTTTATGATAAGATTTTTCTACCTCCTTGCCGCAGTTTTATATTGTCTTCCTGACTGTTTTTCATGTAATATTGTATGATGATGCATAATCCCCATTCCATTAAGGAAAGATACTGCTATATTAAGTGAGACAGTTATGTGGGTGTCCCCGAACAAGGTAGATTAAAAAGGCCAAATTAATTGTGCCTTTGACCTGCAGCAGGTTTGAATGCAGCCTTACAGAGGTAGAAAGGTTAATGCCTCAAAGTACTGTTCCTGATACACAGGGAGGTGTAAAAAGACATTGAAACATTGAAAAAACAAAGAAGAGTATTTAATGTAAAAATTGTGAGGGTGGAATTAGCTCCTTTTCTCCATATAAATGGACTAGTAATGCTCTGGTGCTTTGCAGCTTATTTCTTGGGGTCAATGCAGATCTCATTTATCTCAGTACTCTAACACTGTGCAAGGTTTTTCAGTTCCAGGAAAAGTCTCTTTCCTGTGAGTGCCTTAGCTTGGATGCTTTCCAGGCAGAATCCCTTTCCAGCTTGTTATTTTGTGAATTTTGTGATAGACTTTTCTATGGACCTTACAATGTAGTTAAAAAGGAGGTTGACTTCTCTGGAGATCTATGCTCCATCCTTTCCCCTAGCTTTACACAGTGGTAGAAATTATGGAAATATTACATGGTTCTGCTTCAAACTAATAGCATGAGTTTGCTGTTAGCTTCATGTGGCTTTTCCAGAGAAATAGTGAGATCTTCCTGGCAATACTACACTGATAAAAATTAATTAACAAAACAAAACCACTTTTCCCTAGTAATTCATGTGCTTCTACAGTGCACAACATCAGGAAGAAGTAAAACAATCTGCAAAACCCTGAAAGGAAGCAAGAAAGTTTAGAGCCAGTAAGGTGGTGGATTTCTATTTCATTGTGCTTCTCAAGCAAGAAATGGAAATTCTGTTTCAAACTTCGATGCTTGACTTGGCCAGTCAGATTTCTTTCCTGTCCTGATAATCTAGTCTCTGAAGTCAAAACTCTGAGAAAATCAGTAAGGCTTTTCCATGTCTTGTTTGAATTATTGTTTCAGTCTCTAGATGAAGACTAAGGCAAGTGTTCACATTGGTAAGGACAGTGTTGTGCCAGAAAGATGAAAAATTTGATTTCTGATGAATGTGTGTCACACTGAGACTGCAGCCATTAATATTTGGGGAAGAGTAATGAGAGAAAAAAACACTGATGTTTTAGTGAATGCTGTAAGTAACAGGAAAAACTATTTTAAGTAAGAATACTAAATAGGAAAAGAGACTCCAAGCAAACAATTTGAGTAATACTTGTTTAATATTGTTCTTAAAGCATTCAGTAATCTGATTTTTGCCCTATGTTTATATTGTGTATAGTTATATCCTTTTTGGTTATCATTTTAGGAGACAAACAAATACCACTATTCTATGCCATTCATTTGAACTGTGCAGCTGAAACTTTCTGCTTCTCCCATTTCTCCATCTCTCTCCCTGAATCTACTTGCTGATGTCCTAATTTCTAATACCTATAGGAATTCAGTGTTCAGACCACCCTTTGTGTCTTGGATAATAACGGACGAGCATTCTCTCTTCTGCTTTAGGGTTTTCCAGGTGACTTTGGAAATAGAGGCCCTCCTGGTCCAGATGGGAATCCTGTAAGTATCAAATTGTGTGTTGATTAACACGGTAAAATTTGTAACACTCAATATTAACTCCCCTCCCAAATGGAAAGGAGACTTTTGCCTCAAAAGCCATGTCTTGAAGTCCACAGGAAAATTTTGGATAAAATTGCTAGGATAGTAATGTAATAAGCAGTGGTATAAAAAAGAGATAAAAGAAGGAGAAAGCTGCTGAGAGAACAGAGTTTCCACTCCTGCATTTGCTGACTACCTTGAGAATCAGATGTCTTGCTGTCCTTATTGCATTAGTGATGAATGTTTTTTGTCTTCAAAAATTCTTGCACTGGGTATGACTTTGTGTTGTTTATTTAAACCATTATTCTAAGATCATCTTAACAAAATGGGATTCTGCATGCATGTCAAAACCCTAGCTTTCATATGCTTATGCATTTGATAGTTGATTTCATCCTTTGAAGTGTTACTGAATACAATTATGCTAGTATGTCATTTAGTGCATTATAATCAGTATGATAACAGCTTTGTCCTTGGCAGCGTGTGCAGGCTAAAGTGCTTTTGTGGTATGGTCACATCACTTCACTGGCTGCCCTC